CCTATCCCACAGCCATAAATACTGCACTCCCATAGCCAACTACACCAGAGCACAGAGTGCTGTCCTCTGAAGATGCCGGCCACAAAGACTGGTGAAACGTTAGGAAGAACAACCTTCAGAACATGGCCAAAGAGCCCGAAAAACCCACAACAGCCATTAGATCCTGGCCGTGAAAGCCTTCGCGAATAATTTGAGAAGTTGTTTGCCATGCCATCTTGGGGTACTTAGAGTCACATTTCAAAAGATTTGCAGAACAGTGGTATGCCCTGTTCTTTATTTCTGATTCCGTGTCTGACCGACATCCCCAGTTGTGTTCTGTCATGTTGAGCTGAATATGAGCAGGAGCTCCTGTGCACTGCTCCATTCTCAAGAGAGAGAGAGAGAGAGGTTGGAGAGACAGACCCACCTGGGATGCCAGAGATGTTGGCATTTTCTGGGATTTGGCCTTCCTGTGTTATATGGAAAGCCTGCCAGAGCCATTGCCAACTGTCTTGCTCCACAAGGAAGGGACTTGCTTGGGGTGTGGATAGAGTTGGGAAGATCTGGAGAAAAACACAGAAAAATTGGGGGGGGGGGACTAATTTTTCCTTTTCCCCCCCCCCCCCAAACCCTTTTTTTCTTTTGGGGGGGGGGAACTAATTTTTCCCCTTTCCCCCCCAAAGCCCTTTTTTGCTTGTTTGTTTGTTCTTCGTGGTCTCTGTGAATGCACACAATCGGGTTGTTCTGTGCCTGTGCTGAACGTCTCGGAAGTTTCTAGAGCTTAAAGACACATGATTGGTGGGACATTCCCCCGTGGAGCGCATGCTCCGCCCATCCTAGGTCCCCTCAGTTCCTTTTTTCCGTCGTGTTGAGCAGACCTGTTTGGAGAAATAGAGCACTATATTGAATCGTATTTCCCTTTTCAGTCATCATTATTTCTACAGTTGTTTTCTTTATTTGACATTCCCCCCTGTGAGTTGTTTCCAGTTTTTCTCTATCTGCGTTTTGCCTTCCCCCTTTCCCCCCAACTGTTTTTCCCTCCTATCCTTCCTGCTCTTTCTGCCCCCCCTAGGCCTTTCAAGCGGTGCATTATCTGTGCAAACAAGATCCCACTAACAGACGGGCCCGGTCGCTGCCTTTAGCCTTGGGAAACAACATCCTACCCACTCCTGTTCTGCGTGTAAGCGGCTAACTAAACCAGCCCTTAAACTTCATCTCCAAAGATTGAGGTCTTACCTCTGGGAGAAATCTCTCGACTCATCTGCGGCCTCCATGGAGTCTGCACGATCTCCAGACCTTCAAATAGAGCGGCAAAATCCATCCATGTCTGTGACTCCTTCTCCCCATCCTAAGGATGTTCTTTTACAATAATAAAAAATATCTCTATGACATGGTATTAAAATTATATAACATGAAGACCTTAATGAAAGACGTCCAAGACTTTCTTTCTTTCTTTCTTTCTTTCTTTCTTTCTTTCTTTCTTTCTTTCTTTCTTTCTTTATTTATT